CACTCTCCCTCAGAGAGGCTTTTGCTGTGGATGAAGCCCCTGCATGCCGAGGCCAGGGTGAGCCTCTCCTCCAGGCGGGAGTAGACCATGAGTAGCTGGGCGGCGATGCCCGTGGTGCTGCCCTCGGGGACCATGAAGATGTGCTGGCTGCTGGTGTAGAGCTGGCAGGGGGGGATGTGATGGAGGAGGACCCTCACGGTGCCCGCGGTGCTCTCGGTGCCCAGGGGCCGCACACACACACAGTAACGGTACGGCCGGCTCCTGGCTGACGGTGCGGCCTCTGATGGCGGTCTCTCCTCACACCACACCAGGTCCCCCCCATTGCTGAGGCAGGCCGAGGCCACCCGGGCCCGGGGGCTGCTGCAGAGCTCCAGGGATTGCAGGCAGGCCCAGCCCCCGCCGGGGGAGAGAGCCGGGGGAGGCCGCCACAGCTCGGCCCGGCCGCTCTCCCACACCACGGCCAGCGCCCAGCCCGAGCCCCGGCGGGGGAAGAGCAGGGCGAGCGGCGGCGGGGAGTGCGGGGCCCAGCTCAGGTCCAGGTGCGGGGCCAGGCCGGGGGCCGGGCGGGGGAAGGAGAGCAGCCGGCGCCGGCCGGGGAGCAGCAGCAGGAGGTGCCCGCCGTCAGGGCTGCACAGCGCCCGGTACCCGCCGCCCTCCAGGGCCTCGCGGAGAGCCTCCGGCCGCCCCCAGGCGCTGAGGTCACAGAGCAGCTCGGGGGCCCCGAATGGCGCCATGTCCGCCGGGAGCTCAGCGGCGCTCTGCGAAGGGCATCACGGGACTCTAACACAGACACCACCTCAGGCACGGACACTTCCGGCGCAGCGCGCGCTGCTTTATGCCGATTGGCTGGCCGAGTGCGCCGCCAGCCTATCAGGGCAGGCTGGGCGTTACGTCACAGGAACCCGCCATCCAATCAAAGGCCGCCTGCCCAGCCAAACCAAACGACGGCGGTTGGTCTCGCTGCGCTGGAGCCCGGGCTGGGGGGGTGTGGCGACACTGGAGTTCTAAACAAAGGAGACACTAGCACAGCTGCTCTCTCTTGTCTCCATTGTAGTGGGAACCGCCGCCCGTAGAACTCGGTGCTTTTCGGTCTCTGCCAAGATGGCTGCCGTCATAGCGTTACACGAGCGCCGCTGGAGACACTTTGGATCCGGGTAACTTCCGCCGCGGATTTGGTGTCCGTGTGAGCGTTCGACGTGGGCGGAGCGAGTGCTGACAGCAGAGGGAGGCGGTGCCCGGCCATGGGGGTACTCCCAGTCAGGATGCAGGCTGCCCTCCAGTGAGTGAGGCCTCTCCCAGGGCAGAGCTGACGGTAAGTAGTGCTGGTGCTCCCCAGGACCCGGATGGGGGGATGGTGGCTGGGCAGGGCTGG